CCTCGCTGTCCTATGTGTTGGTGTGGAGGAGGTGGTTGATGTGTGTTTCAGGAGATTCCCTAGTGTTTATACTCACCCAAACTGTTTCCTTGGTGAGGTTTGTATCTCTTGCCCCCTAGATGTACTCTTGTGCGGTCTTTTTGCCCTTCCCCATCTTCATGACTTTGCATTTGGGGGGGGTTGAATCCAGGACCCAATTCTGGCCGGTTGCACCCTGCCCAGATCCCTTTGTAGTTCTCCCTGGTCTTCGATCAAATGAATTTTTTACAACTTCACGTCATCTGTAAACAGGGACACTTTGGCTTTTTCCCCTTCGTCATGCGTTCAAAAATCCCAGAAACGCACTGGTTGGACTGACACGTGGGCCCCCGTGTCACGGCCCCCACTCTGACCCCTCGTTTTCCTGACAAGTATTCTCTGATCCATTGTAGGCCTTCCCCGTTTCCCCTGTTTGGGTCCTCCAGTTTTTGCACTAATCTTTTGTGTGGAACTGTGTCAAATGCCTTTTGCAGTCCAAGAAAATGAACCCCAAACCCCCCCCTCTCTCTCTTGTCTTACTGCTGTCACAGGTATAGAACTCCGTAGGTTGGACACAGGATTTCCCATCCCTGAAACCATGTTGGGCTCGTTAATGAGATAATTCCCTTTTTAGGTGTTCCCACCACTTTCCCCTGACAGTCTTTCCGACTTTCCCTACTTAATGTCAGTGCCCTGGTCTGTAGTTTAGTGTTCATGTCTGTCCCCTTTTTTAAAAGTTGGGAACATTTGCTGTTTCTATGCCTCACAATCTCCTGTTTGATGATGTTTTGAATATTTTTTGGGGGTCCCAAATAGCGCCTTTTCCCCTTCTTCAGGACCTTGGGAGAAGTTACCCGGGGCCCCATTGCCTTTGAAGTATCTAGCTCACTCAAAGACTCTTCGCTTTCCTGGTTGTATGTACGTGTCCACATTTGGTGGTGCACCCCACCTCCCCGTTTTTTGGGGGGAGCCCTTCTTTCCCCTCTTAATATTTTTTAAATTTCCTTGTTGTGTATGTGTGTAGTATGTATCATGTGTGTATTGGTGGAAGAGGGGTGAATGTTAGGTGGGGGAGTTGTATGTATGTATGTGGGTGTGGTATTGGTGGAAAAAGGGCTGGTGAATGTTAGGTGTGGGGGTTGGTATGTATTATTTGTGTGTGTTGGTGGAAAAGAGGGGGTAAATTGTTGGGTGGGACAGGAACATAAAACAGACATACAGTTACAATAATATCTTCATAGTTGATAAAATTGGTAAATAACTACCAAAGGGCGGGAAATTTGGTCAAAACCCATTTTGGGTAAATAAAATCTAAAATTTTCAATAAAATTTCCAATAAATTTAAACAGCAAAAATGGAATAAAAATTACATCTCTTCTTACTTTCCCAAAAACTATGTTCCAAAGGGCAATCCCCAAAAAAAAAAAAAAAATTTGGTGAAAAAATTGGGAAAAATAACGTATAATCTATTATCCTTCCTCTTCTTTTTCCCTCTCTCTCCCTTTACCCCCTTCCCTCCCCCTTTAAAAACCTTCTAACTTCCTTCTTTTTTTTTCTCTCTCCCTCCCTCTCCACTCTCCTCCACCTTATAAACCTTTGTATTCCTCTTTTTCCCTCTCCCTCCTTTTTACCCTCTCCTTCCCTAAATCCACTCCATCCACGTCCCCCCTGTCTTTGTCTTGGAGTCAAACCATTTTATGAACTTTTTGATTTGGACTCATCCCCCCCCCCCCTCCCTCCCTCTTCTTGCTACCTTTTTTTTCTTTCTCCCCTTATTTCCCTTTTTTTTTCCCCACCTCCCTCGTCCTTTATTTCCCTTTTTCTTTACTTTGTTCCCCCTTCCTCTCTTTCCTTTGGAGCTGTATACCCCTTTGGGGTTTTTGCGTTTTTTTTTATTAAAATAATAATAATTTTTTTTGGAAATTAAACACACAGCTATAATGGATCCGTTATTGAAAACGTTTTGCCCACAAGGGGGTTTTTTTTAAGTCACAAAACAGTTCTACCTGGGGGGAAAAGTACGCAAGTTTTATTGTAGGTTCAGAATTTTGGGCAGGTGGAGAATGTGCATCTGAGATCTCCCCGAGGGGGGTTATAGAGTCTAAATTTTGGGGTAGTTGGAGAGGAGTTTGGGATAATTTTTTGAGCAATTTCTGCAGGTTCCTCCATCCTTGTTCTATGTGGGATAGTGTAAAGAATTTTTTGCCAAGAGACCAACCTATACCTTTTTAAATATTTTTATTATAATAAAGTGATCAAAAATTGATAATTTGGCCAATTTCCAGAAAAAAAGAATGTAGACTTTCCGGGCACTAAAAAACATTCCCTTGTTCCTTAACATGTGTCCGGCCCCTCTTATATTAGGCTTGCTTTAAGAACATAAGAACATAAAAGAAGGAACACTGCAAAGGCCTATGGCCTGGGGGGGGTCCAAGTCCCTACCGGCTTAACCAATGCACCCAACCTAGTAGGTGGTCACATTGACTTAAGGGAGGAACACGGCAACCGCCGTTAGCAAAAGCATCAGGTCAAAAACCACACCCCCCCCCAATTACCATGTATTTACCAACCTATTTTTAAGTACCAACTTTTTGGCCTTATAACAGTTGATTTTTTATTCACAATAAAATAGAAGATTTATGTTATGCGACAAAATAGTGTTAAGTAAGTTAGTGATTACTAAATGTGTGTTAAACTGGCCAGTTGGACACATTTTGGACAAGTGACATCATTTGTGTACTCTGGAATATCATGAAAATCAAACATTTCTGCTAATTTGAGTCTTTTTTAAGCTACTTCAGCCCTAAACCAAACAAAATATTCTGTTTTTGTATAATGTTTAGTTTTATCAAATAAGACCAAGAAACTGAGAATATGACCACAAAAGCCATATAGAAATGCACTGCAAAGTCGCTGTTTTAAACCAAAAACACGGTTGCAGTTTTTCCCATTATGCATTGCATCCGACACAATTTTTTTTTGTGGTGCCACCTCCCATAGACCCATTCTTTCAAACCTACCCCCAAATTTACCATGCAAGCTTATCTGAGTGAGCGAGCCCCTGGTGTTTTACTACGGGCTGACACTGGCTTCAAAGTTAAAAAAAACAAAATGACCCTGAGGGGTTTAAAGCATTGGAGGTGAGTCATTGTCCACCCCTTTTGATGGGTTATCAACATCAGCACAATTTTTAAAAGTTAGCCTTTAAAAAAAAAAAGTTGTATTTGGTCTTGTTCCCAAGTAAGGAATATTTTCAAAAAAATGACGCACAATAACTTTTTTAGTGGCACCTCGGGATAGAAATTAAATATTCCAGAAGGCTGTTTTAGGAGCTGATACTGAATGAATTTGTTCCCTAAGGAATAAAGTAAAATTAGATAACTGTTTCAAACCCCCCAAAAAACACTTACAAAAACTTAAAAAAAACTTAATACAGTGGCCCCCGCTAACGTCCCTCCAAATCGCCAAAAATTAGTAAAATGGATTTTTAAGTTTTACGGTGTTTTCTAATTGACTTTTTAACACAATATTTCCTTTTGGGAAAAAAACGGGCTACGGCACTAATATACTGGGGATGAAAAAAATTTTTTAACCGGGGGTATTTAAAATTGGGGAGTTTGGACTGTTCGTTTCCCAAATCCACGTTTCCGGGTTACCGGAAAGTTGGGGGGAAGCCCCCCGGCCGGGTTTTGCCGGCCCTTTTTTGGTGGATAACCTGATCCACCAGGTGTTACTGTGGCATACAAAAACTACGGCCCGCCGGTTGGGCGGAGACTTTAAGGGCTTGCCCGTCCAGCTTTAAGACCAGGGTCTTTTTTCCCCTTTTTTGCTGGGAGGAGTTGAAAAATTTGCCCTGCCCAATTTTATTTTTTTTAAGGCAGGAACCCCGTTTTCTTGGGGGGGGTTACATATTTCCCGTGGGAAGTAAATTTCCCTCCCGTGGAAAATTTTGGCAAAATTTTATCAAAAAAGGAGATAGGGGGAGGACTATGGTAATCTGGAAACTCGGGGCCTTTTGGAATTTAAAACCCGGAACAAATAAACATGTAAAACTAGTTTCAGGGGCTGGGCCCCGCTTTTAGATTATTTCAAGTGTGGAGGTTTTGGTCCCATTAGTTAAATTTTTACAAAAAAAGTGAACTTTGGTTTTGTCCCCCATTGTTTGAGTTCTAATCTGGACAAGTTTACATGGATACATGGGCTCGCATTGGGTTTTTAAAAACAATTGCAAAATTTTGGTCCCTTTTTAATAAATGGTTTTTAAACCCGCACTTTGGTTGTGGGTAAATTTTCGTGGGGATTCAGGGAATGGTTAGCAAACTTTTTTCCCCCGGGGTAGGAAGTACAATGCCTGCCAAATTTGAAAAAGGAAGGTTAAGGATTTTTGGTTTTTTGGAGGACATTTTAAAGTTGATTTGAGTGCCTCTGCCAAAGAATTTTTTATGTTTAATGATTTGGGTGAAAGTGTTTTTTTTGGGGCCCACCCGCCTGGGGGGATGGCCGTGGTTAAAGAAAAAAAAAATTTTCCATTCTCCCAAAGCATTCCAATTTTTTTTCAGCTGCCTACTTCACCCTTGCATGCTTTTTTGTTTCCCTCCCTCTTTTCAGTCCGTGGTTGATGCAGACTCTTACTAAAAGAAAAATGATATATAAATGGCCCGGTTAATATTAGTCCGATATAGGAAAAGGGTTGTTAGCTAGTAACATGGTTACACTAAAATTCCTTTTTCATCTTAATTTTTGAATTTTTAATTTTTCTCTTGAACTCTACAGAAACTGTGACCCCTTTTTTCCCCCCCCCCCCACCATCTTTTTGTTGAGTCTTTCCCCTTACATTTCTACCATATCATTCAACCCTTACTTTCATTGTCTGTTTAGGAACCTCAGGGAACATATTTTAGTACCCCTGAATTCATTTGGGCTGATGTGTTTATTTATGATTTTTGTACTAAACACAGTACTCGTTTTTTTCCTCATTACAGGAACAGGTAAGAGTCAGTTCCTAAAATTGTTTTAACCCGGTGCCACGGGGTGTCCCAACAACGGGTATTTTAACCCCCAATGGGTTTACAGTTTCTGCGGAGGATGAGGGGGAAGGGGTTGGAAACTGGTGCTTTGGGACGTTATAGTTTTATTGTTTTGGGAAAAAGTTGTTTAACCTTAATTGCTTCAGACTAAAATTAAAACCCCACTGTATACCTGAATTTTGAAAAAAAGAAATTTTTTTCTAAATTTTAAGAGTTTTTTTTTGGTGGTAAAAAAAAACAGAAATTTAAATACAAGAATACTTATGCAATGACACAGATGCAGTGCACAAATTGCTTTTTTGGCTCAAAGCAATTTCAAGTTCTTGATGTGTAATAATATAAATAGTGCTTTTTTTTCTTTTTCTTTAACCCCTTAATGTCCCCAAAGCAGACTATTTTCTTACCCGCTAGTGCTCCCAATATTTTGAAAAAAAAAAAAAAAAAAAATTTTTTAGAAAAAAAAAATGCAATTTTTCTGGTGAATAGGATTTAAAAAAAATATTTAGGTTGGACTTACCAGATATGACCCACGAAAATTGGCACTTTATGATCACCTGATGGCAACATGGAGCACTGCCGCTTGCAGAAATTCTACATATTTACCAATTTTTCCATTTTTTTTTAATTTTCTTTGGTTTTTTTGATTGTAATTAGTTTTATAGTAAAACTTTTGATTTTAAGCCACTTTTTGTTTTTTACACAAAAATTATATACGGAATTATTATCATACTGTCACAAACACACATGTATGCACTGATATGTGATTTTGCACACCTGGCTGAATCACATTCTATTATCTACAACTATATACAAATATTTACATGTCCCACTGATGTTTCTTGAACTCCACTATTGTATGATACTCCTAAAGCATGGATTCTTACAGAGGGGCCACCCCACATTGGTGACATGAAATGTGTCCTTCTGCTTTTGGGGGTCATTTTGTGGTGGTAGCACACACAACACACTTTTCTGTGAATACTTCTTCTTTGGGGTAGGTGGTATTGGTATCAGGTAGTGACAGTTAGGGATGATTCGGTCTGGACTTCCCCAACTGGCTGGGGTTTTGTGGTTGTGGTCGGGGGACATGTCATGTTGGGGGGCAGGTACAAGTGTGGTACCATACTTTTTGCTATCTGTTTTACGACATTCGGGGAGAATTTTGCGAAACATTGTCTTTTTCCAGTTTTTATTTTGTACAAATTGAATGCAATGAGCATTTACGGGTGTCTACAAGGTGGAAAAATAGGTTTATATACCACTTGTGACTCCTACGCACACAGTCAATGAACCCTAGCATCATGTCACACTTGTTGACTAGTCGCATATTGTTCGTATAGTCGACGACAGCAGGTGGCTTTACAGTGCGTTCATTGGTGTCCTGGTTAAACTTTGTCTGTTTGTACCATCTCGTTTCTGTGAATGGTTGACAGCATGTCATGTCCTGTTTGTCATGTCACGTCAGTGCCATGATGTCATTGGCATGAAACACTTGCACTGCACCTTCAACACTGCCTCCACTGAACCTTGGCATATGTTTCTATTCCTTCTCACTTTTTCCACATATATCAGTATTGTTCACACATGGGAAAAATCAGCGAGCATAGGGCTTGTTTTACCAGTTGTCTTTGAACAGTTTTATGACCCTTGCCAAGGTATGGTTCCATCATCTTGCGAACAACATCACCAGAAATGCCCAACATCCGTCTGTCATCATCAAGTGTGTTTCTCCCGGTGTAGACAACGACGTCCAACACAAGACCGCTCTCACAGTCACACATAACAAAAAGTTTTATACCAAGCGATTACGTTTGCTTGGTATATATTGGTTTAATGACAGGTGTCCCTTAAACAGAATCGAGGACTCTTTTGACAACAATGTTCTTGAAAGGATAAAAGTATGCACTGAATTTCTGCTTCATATACATAAACACTTCCTGGATTTTGGCCTCTTCCTGTCTGAGAAGTGCAACATTCATAGCAACAGAGTGAATCTGTTGCAGGGAAGGAGGTCACAGAATACAGGAGTACTGATGAAGTAGTCTGTAGACCAGTACTGTGCTATATTTTGTTTTATATGTATGTGGCAAAAGCATGACAGTAGCGAGGAATGTATACATTTTAGCCACAGTTGTATCGTTCCACCTATGCAGACGTGACGTTTCTGCAACCACTGTGATGTCCATGATATAGCGATATTAATTGTTCATCTGGGTCACTATCAAGCTCATTAGAGGCTCATCAAAGTATAACTTGAAAAACTTAACTCTGTAGACTCATTCATTATGGACCTTCTGGAAGGATGCCACTGCACTTGCATCAAAATCAAAAAGTTGTGGCACAAATATACTTTGTGTCCAGTCCCACTCACGGTCACATGGTACAAGGTGGACCGGGTGGCATGGGGCGAAGGGAAGCAGGGGGAGGGACAGAAGTGGAGGCAGCACATGGCTGAGGGGGTGCCGGGGGGGTCCTTTGTCTGTCCACCCACTGCGCCATGTGCTCCAGGACTGTGCCCACCCCCACCACCACCTTTCCTCCATCCTGCATATTCTCCATCATTATCACTATCACTTCAGTACCCGGGTTTAGGATCGTGACCTGCCACGACCCTTGGGGATTGCATATGGCATACTAACTGAACGCAGGCTATGATGCCTAAAAGTACGCTTCACTGGTGAATAATGAATATCACTATCACTAGGACATTTGTCTATTGGCATAAAATCAATTTCATTGTTACTTTCTCACTTTTACTATCACAAAAAACCTAAAGGAAAATGATAGTTTCCTCTTGCATAGTTGCCTATGGGTAGTAATACCAGTCACTCCAGAGGTGTTTGGGCCCCCAGGGTCTTGTGTGGCCACAGTGGCCATCCCAGAAGTGCTAGGCTGGGGGGTCTGGCATGGCCACATGGCCACCCCAGAGGTTGATGGCTGAGGGTCATCTGAGTTATCATAGTTTCTTTTCACTAATTTTTGATCATTAGTGGCCACATGGGTGTAAAATCCACTAAACTCACGTTCTACACCACTTTCTTCGAATAAGAGAGTGTTAATATGACGAGGCATGAATGAATCACGAGGATGTGCCATGATGTTGACCCAAGATGGAACTGAAAGTAACTGGGTGTTTACTATGTGGTACCCAGGCATCGCCGATTTTTTTCTATATGTCGCACCTGAGTGTGCCAGACCCATTCTCTCATGTCTAGGCCATCAGGCCTATTGCGCCAAAATTGAAGCCAGGAAAATAAAACGTAGATTACGTTTGGAGCGCTAGCGGTAAGAACAGAGATCTACGTTTTGGACAGTTAACGGGTTAATTAATATACAGGAGGACCCCCCTTATACAGCAGGTTAGGTTTTGGGTACTGTAGGGCCCTGCTTATACAGCAGTTTTGGGTTTTGGGCTTCTGCTGTAAAGCAAAAATCTATGTAAAGTGACTCATGCCTTTTTCACTTGAAAAAGCATATTTCAGTGGACCCCCGCCTTACGATATTTAAACTGTTCCTGAGAGCTCATCATATGCCAAAATTATCGTAAGGTGATTAATTTTCCCATAAGAAATAATGGAATCAAATTAATCCGTTTCAAGGCACCACAAAGTATGGAAAAAAAAAAATTTCCACATGAAATATTAATTTTAATACACACAAAAACTGACACTTACCTTTATTGAAGTCTGGTGATGATTGAAGGGATGGCAGGAGGGGAGAGTGTGGAAGTTGTTAACCCTTTCGGGTTTCGGATGTACTAGTAGGGCTTACGCACCACGGTTTTTTACGTACTAGTACGCCTAAATTTTAGCGCCCTCAAAAACTAGTGAGAGAAAGCTGGTAGGCCTGCATAGAAAGAATGGGTCTATGTGGTCAGTGTGCCGCAGTATAAAAAAAATCCTGCAGCACACAGTGCGTAATGAGAAAACAAAACTTTGACGTGTTTTTGGATTAAAACAGCGAATTTGTACTGTATTTTGTATGGTATTTATTGTTGTATTCTAGTTTTCCCGGTCTCATTTTATAGAATGGAAGACATATTACAGAAATTGAGATGATTTTGGGCTGGTTTTACAAAAGAAAAGTACCTTGAAATTGAGCTCCAAAGTAGCAGAAATGTTCGATTTTTACCAAAGTTCAAAAGTAAACTAATCATGCTATGTGTCCAATACACATCTTCTGGTTTAGTCTAATAAACTTTCACAATGTGTGCCGATATTATTTTACCATTTTACACTAATGCAGTACTCTGCATAACAGTAAATTTCTATTTTTTGTGAGAGAGTTGTGGTGAAAATGGCAAAATTGCTAAATTCTGACCACGTATTGGATAGTTGAAATTAGTAAATGGGTGGTTTCTTGTAATCATTTGATAGAAAAAATGGAAGGGTTTTAGCAAAAAAGTTTTGATTTTTGTCGACTGGTACACTGGGAAATTTGGCCGAAAATTTGGGCTCAAAGTGGGCAAAAAATTTCCGATGTTGTAAACTTGTCAAGGGGCCATTAACTTCACAAGAGCATAATTCCGTAAGTTTTCCATCAAAATTTCATACTTTGGTGTCATTATGATCAGGAAAAGATTCTCTATGTTTTTATAAGGAAAAAATATTTTTTTTTTTTTTTGAAATTTCAGCCACCTGAGAACAAGTCTGGGAGAGGGCCTGGGGACCTGAAAGGGTTAATGTTTAGAAGGGGAATCCCCTTTTATTAGGACTTTAGGTAGCACGTCCTTTTCTGGGGTTACTTCCCTTCTTTTAATGCCACTGGACCAGCTTCAGAGTCACTGGACCTCTGTCGCACAACATATCTGTCCTTAGAGGCTGTACCTCTCGTTCCTTTTTGATTTATCGAAGTGGTTCACAATGTTGTCATTGTAATAGCCCCCAGCACAGCTTGCAATAGCTGTGTGAGGGCAATTTTCATCCATAAAGGGTTTTCACTTCAAGCCAAATTTGCACACATTTCCTTAATCTTTGGAAAAAGGCAACTT